CTTGAACCCGGCCTATTACTGTCAGCGGACATCACAAGACCTACGGCGAAAGACAGAAACTTAGTGCAGGTTTTGAACTGGGTGTGGAGGGGATGGCCTGACACAACCAAAGGGGACAAATTCACACCATTTAAAAATAGACAATTAGAACTGCCAGCAATGAAGGGTTGTTTGTTGTGGGGGGAGAGGGTAATTGTACCACAACAGATAAGGAAAAGGGTTTTGGAATTGCTACACAAAAGTCATCCGGGCTTAGTGTGGATGAAGGCTCTAGCCAGGAGCTACGTATAGCGTCCGGGGCTGGACAAAGACATTGAAACCTGGGTCGCCGCATGCCCCCCTTCCAAGAATCCTGACCTGCTCCCCCCCCATTGCACCCCCACTTAAATGGGAAAAGCCTTTGGCACCTTCAGCTCGCATGCACATTGATTTTGCATGGCCATGCCAAGGGCAAACATTCTTATTGGTAGTCAACGCCCACTCTAAGTAGTTAGAGGTGGTCATCATGAAGTCCACAATGACCGAGGCTATGATAACAGCATTAAGGAAGCTGTTCACCACCCATGGGCTACCTGGTGTGCTGGTTTCCGACAACGGCCCTCAATTCACAGTACACCAATTTGAGGGTTTCCTTGCCAAATTGGGGATCCACCATGCCCTATCAGCACTGGTACACCGGCCACTAATGGGCAAGTAGAGAGAATGGTCAGAATGACCAAAGAAATATTAAAGAAAATGGGCCCCGGGGATTGGCAAGAGAAGATAGATAGGATGCTGCTAACACAGCACATAACACCCAGAGCAACAACATATAGAAGCCCAGCAGAAATGCTCATGGGCAGGAAACTAAAGTCAGCTCTTGACAGGGTCCACCCCAATTACACTAATGACACCACATGAAACTTCACTGGGAAGTGCAGAATATTTACACCGAGGGACCAGGTATATGCTCACAACTACACAGGACAGGCAATCTCGGTTCTGGCTAAAATAATAGAAAGCACTGGGCCCAGATCATATAGAGTACAGGTGGAGTGGGGGAACATGGAGCCAGCATATAGTCCAGCTGCAGGGCCGCATAACACAATCCCCGCAAGAAGCCGAACACCAGAAAACACAACCGGCCCTAACTAAAATCAGAGGACCAGAACCTCCACTAAGACCTCTATTTACTAACTCAAACCTGAATAACAGGGAACTTAGCTTTGGGAGAAGAAGCCCAGCGTAGTATTTCTGGGGCCTCCAGCTCAACAGAGTCCACCATGCCTCTGGGAAGCTTTGAGGCGGTTCCAAGGGCGGACTCTGGAGCAGTGGCAGACTCATCCACACAGGCCACTGACTCAGGAACAACTGAATTGTGCAGGCCCAGTCACACCCACCAAAGCCCCACCTACGTGCGTGACTACGTTTGCCAAATGGTCTGTGATTGGTTGACCTAACTAAAGGGGGAGAGGTGTTAAATATTCATTGACACCTTCTTATTATTCATGTGCGTAATATTTAGAATGGAGTCTGATGTCAGACTCCACTCATTGGTCCAGCCACTGGCGGGAATAATGAAGCTCCATCAGTGGCTGAAATGTTGGACAACGCCAGCTATAAAAGCCAGTACCTGCTGTGGCTTGCCGCTTTTTTTCCTACGCTTTAAAATAAACAGTTTTCTGGAACTCCTACAGTCCTGCCTCTTCCTTTCACGCGCCACTTAGCTGCTATCATGTCTCCCCTGGTCCTTCTCTTTATTAGACTAGCCATGCCCAGCTCCTGTAACCGTTTTGCGTATGTTTTAGCCTCTAGTCCCCTAAACATCCTGATTGCTCTTCTCTGCACTTTTTCTAGAGTCTCAACATCTTTTTTATAGTGTGGTGACCAAAGCTGGATGCAGTACTCTAGGTGTGGTCTTAGTAAGGCTTTATAGAGTGGTATTAGTACCTTACTTGATCTTGATTGTATCCCTTTGTTAATATAATTTAGGATTGCATTGGCTTTTTTGGCTGCCACTGCACACAGTTGGCTCATATTTAATTGGTTGTCCACTAAGACTCCAAAAGTCCTTCCCAGTTATTCCTATTATCAGAGCTGGAAGGGACCTTGGAGGTCTTCTAGTCCAGCCTTCTGCTCAAGCAGGAGACCTGATACCATCTCAGACAAATGGCTGTCCAGTCTCTTCTTAAAAATCTCCATGGACAAAGCACCCACAATGTCTGAAGGCAAACGGTTTCACTGGTTAATTATCCTCACTGTTAGGAAGTTTCTTTAAGCAGTCGTGTACAGTATAGGCGTGACTTTTGCTCCAGAATCTCTCTTTTCTTATCACTTTAGTTGTTTACAGTTTCATAAATCAGCCAGACACAACAAGTCTTATTATCACAAGTCTTATTATTTTCATTCAGTGGATAGGTCTCCTGAATCACATGATCCTTCCTAGCCAATAGCGCACTCTGCTGGTGAAAAACCTGTGGTGCAAGCTTGTGGACACATTTTCCCAAAGTACATAGTTGCAGTTCTTCCATTTTGTCAAAGATGCAAAATAAAGATGCGTAGTAATGCTAGTCTGTAACCCCTAATAAAAATTGATTGAATAAAGTTGTTTAGCTGGCTGGGTGAGGTTCACTGACTATGGAATTGTGGGAGTTGAAGTCCACACACCTTAGAGTTGCCAAGGTGTGTGGTGAAAAATCAGTTCTTAGCTTAGTGGAATTGATTAAATCATGTGGATGTGTAGAGATATAAAGCCATAGGTTGCTACCTTAACAAGTCCATAGATTTGCTTTTTTTTTGGCATCTAGCATTCCCAAACTGCCCCTTCTTTTGATTCATGGCAGATGTTTTACTCTCTGTTTTATTACTTTACTCACCTTTTTACAGATAGTCCTAGAGTTACAACCACAATTAACCCCACAATTTACATTGCTAAGCAATGTGTTAAGTGAGTTTTGACACATTTTATGACCTTTCTGGCCACAGTTTTTGAGGGGTCCTTGGTGCTCTCTGAACTTGCTTGTTTTCTTGCAAAAGTTTCATTACCCTAATTAGGTAACATAATCAGTACTAGTTAGGTTAATAAAATGTCTGCAAGAAAACAAACAAGCTCAGAGAGCACCAAGGGCCCCTCATTTCAACTCCCAGCTACAAATATTCTCCTTTATTAGTATAGTTGTTAGAGGAATCATTGTCGTTGTTAACTTGTTAAGGAAATCTGTCTTCCCCATTGACTTTACCTGTCGGAGGATCACAAAAGGTGATCACATGTCCTCAGCAGCTGTCATAATGCAGCTGGCAGTTACCAAGAGTCCAAATTTTGATCATGTGACCACAGGGATACTGCAATTGTCACAGGTGTGAAAAATTGTTGTCATGTTTTTCAGTGCTTCTATATCTTCAAAAGGTCACTAAATGAAAAATTGTAAGTCAAGGAGTGCCTGTAATTTCTGAAGGAAAACAGACACAAAAAGTAACCTGAGTTCCATTACCTTTAATAACTTGATATAACCTGATAACCTTATCCACGGATAAGAATCAATGCTTTGGGGTATATTAACAGGAGGAACCTGTACAGCGAGGTCCCCAACCTGTGAGCCACAGCCCCCTACTGGGTCGTGGCCTATTCGCAACTGGGCCCCGCTTGCGTGACCGTCATGGGGATTCACAAGCCCACTCGAACAATCTTCATGGGCACTCGTGTGACCATCATGGGCGCTCGTGGCCCCATTCTCACGAGTGGTGGTTGCTCGCATGCCCCTCTCATAAAGCCATCCCCCTTTTTCCCCTCCCCCTCCCCCCTGCACCAGGCCACCAACCCAGAAAGGTTGAGGAACTCTGCTGTACAGGTAGTCCTTGATTTACACCAGTTCTGAAAAAAGTGACTTACGACTGTTTTTCATACCTGAGAAAGAACCTTGCAGCATTCCCATGTCACGTGATCAAAATCCGTATGCTTGGTAACTGGCATTTATTTATGACAGTTGCATTATCCTGGGGTCATGTGTTCACTTTTATCAACACTTTCATCAATAAGCAAAGTCAATGGGGAAACCAGATCCACTTAACAATACATTACTAAATTAACAACTATGTGGTATCTGAGAGTTGAAAACAACTCTCTGCCCCATGGTAGGACCTATGCTTTTTAAAGAGGATTCCAGATATGGCTAATTGACAGGTCCTGTGTCCATCACTATGGACCACACTAGCTGGAGGCATGAAAAGTCAATTCTCCATCCCTATTCTTGGTCCTCTATAAGGGGTAGACAAGGCTTAACTAACTTTCAACTGAAATTCATTAGAATAAGCTGGTATTCAAAAAATATTTTTCCAGAAAGTTCTAATGAAGGGGCCCTTGGTGCTCTCTGACCTTGCTTGTTTTCCTGCAGATGCTTCATTACCCAAACTAGATAACATCATCAGTCCTAGTTAGGGTAATTAAATGTCTTCAAGAAAACAAGCAAGCTCAGAGTGTACCAGGGACCCCTCATTTCAATCCTGAACTACGAATATTCTCCTTTATTAGTTCTAATGCATTAAGCCAGTATTTCTCAATCTTGGGAACTTAAAAATATGTGGACTTCGACTCACAGGGCTGGCTGGGGAATTCTGGGAGTTGAAGTCCACCACATCTTCAAGTGCCTGAGGTTGAGAAACACTGCACTAAGCCTTTGTTTTTGGTGTCAAGAACACAACATACATCAAACAACTACTTGCATATCCAAACCAAGACATGAAGATTTGCATCAAGGAATGCTCTGCCCCGTTGACATCTGCCTATTCGGCATCTTCTGGCTATAAAAAATTGGGGGAGGCAAGCTGAACCAAGATAGTGGAAGTTGCCCTTTCTCACATCATTTCACACACCCCTCCGGTCACATACGTTCCAAGTTAATTGCACATCCAACCCATGACTAAGTTGGTTATTAACTACTCATGAACGTTCTTTAGAAGAATGGTTCAAGAAGATTATTTCATTTTGGTCTTGTGGCTGGGGTACTTCTGGAGTTCACGGCATTATGGAGGCAGAATCACCAACCCACACCTCTAAAACGGCGGCCATCAGCAATGCGGCCGACATTTTGGTCATCTGTTTTTACTTCCTTGCAGTCATTGGCACTGGCCTTTGGGTATGTAGAGCTCACTTTCTTCATGGGACGTAACACTAGACTGAAATTGCTCTGCTGATAATGGGGCATTTAGTTTGTAAAAAAATACAGGAAGTGCTCGACTTACAACCATTCATTTAGTGACCATTCCAAGATACAGTGTCACTGAAAAAGAGACTTATGACCAGTTTTCATACTTTTGACCATTGTAGCATCTCCATGATCAGATGATAAAAATTTGACTGCTTGGCAACTGGCATGTATTTATTACTGTTGCACTATCCTGGGGTCTTGTGATCACCATTTGTAACCTCCCCAGCTGGCTTCTGACACACAAAGTCAGTTTGGCTTAATGACCGCATGATTCATTTAACAATGGGAGTGATTCACTTTTAACAGTTGTGGCAAAAACTGTCTTAAAATGGAACAAAATTCACTTTACAACTGCCTTGCTTGGCAGTGCAAATTTTGGGCTCAATTGTGGTTGTAAGTCAAGGACTACCTTTACTGCAGGGATTCAGTGTCAATTTCCTTGCCAAGCAAAATTTCAGAGAAGGTTCAAAGAGTCTCTTAATTATCCTAAAAATGATTTGTTTTAGGTTCACAATACTGGAAACAATCAGTAAGATTTTCCTCTGGAGTGGATTCCCCCCAGATTAAAAACTGGCTCTAAATTTGCTGATAGCCAGGAAGGGGAATCTCAATCAAGTTCAATTGCTTTTAAGAAAGCATGAAAGAGATTTAGAAATTCTCTATTCTATCTCAATATATTTTTTCACAAGGGTGTATAGGCCAAGAAAGTTGTTAGTTGTAGTTGTTGCAGTTGTTAAGGTCAAGAAAGTTGGTATCCCCAGGCGTCTTTATTTAAGGGGTGAAACTGAGGAACCATCAAATAAAAAGACATTCCTCCTGTTTATTTAAATAGCAGGAGCAAAAACTTCAGTATGGCTTCTTCTACTCACCAGAATCAGAAGCCTGATCGCTCCTTTCCCTATTGATAAAAGTTTATTTAAAAATCATAAATTTTTGTGACTTGTACCTCCATCAGATGCAGATACATCTTGATCCATACCAATTTCTTAAGCGTCCTTTTTTCCAAATGTGATTTTAAGGTGCTAATTATTTTTCTCTGCTTCTATGGTAGTGATATGAATGTATTTTTCTCCTAATACTACCCTTTCCTTTGTTTTTTTTAAATTTTTGGAATAATATTTCTTTTAAAATGTTTATTCGTTCTAATTTACCAACTACCCAGGGAATCATCATTTAGGTAACTCAATAAAGTGTGCCAGAATTTAGAAATCAAAGGCATTTTTAATTCGCAAAGCAGCTGACTGAGTTATCAAAATTACCATTAAGTGCAAATAAAAGTGCATATAATCTGTTCAAGGTATCTAACCAAAACCCTTGGATTTATATAATACTAAAGTGAGTTGTGAAAAGGAAGGCAAAGCACTGAAATAGTGATGGTATTGGGTACAAATGAGACAATGCTACCTGCTTTTGCACCCGTTTTTCACAAAGTCCTCTGCCCAAATGAAAGCTGGCAGGGTGAGTCATGTGCATGTTTATTAGGCTTTTTTATCCAGACTGTTAGTGTCTTGTCTTTTTAAATTTCAGACCTTATTGCTCTGGGGGTTAATTATTATCCTCAGTTACACAGTTCAGGAATGTACTGGAAGCTGGTAATGAGTAAAATTGAAAAGATGAGTGACTGAACTGTCTATTCTTTAAAGAATTACAGTCTGCTCCCAGGCACTGTCTTCTAGTTTAGCCTAGAAATTGCCTCGTTTGACACTGATTAAATGGGATTAAATGATTATGTACCTCAAATGCCAAGCTGAATCATATTGGCCTCTTTTATCTGGCTTTATTTGTCTGCAGGGCATGGATTAAAAAAGCCAAGATGGCAGCACAACAATGCAATTAAAGCTCATCCTGCATTGCATGTAAAAAAAAGAAAGAAAGAAGGTTTGATTGTACTGTCACATCCGCCATTTTGGGTTTTTCGACCATGCCCTAAACATATCCTTCCTTTACTTAGAGCAGTGTTTTTTTTCAATCTTGGCCTTTTGAAGAGGTGTGGATTTCAGCTCCCAGAATTCCACAACTAGCATCGCTGGGTGGGGAATTCTGGGAGTTAAAGTCTACATATCTCAAAGTTAACCCGCCTGATTAGAGTGTTTTGTCAGCTGTCCTGTTGTAAACAGTGAAGTGGGGAGGAAAAGGAAGTGGCGGGGGGGGGGGGGAATCTGCAAGCAGCTTCAACATGGAGGATGCTGACCACAGTGAGCAGATCTGGATTTGGGTAGAGGACAATTTGGGGATTTGATTTTGCTTCCTTCACTGTGATATCCCAGTGAAGAAAGAGCTCAAATGACTCCTGTCAATCCTGGTTAGAGAAAGTTCCTAGGGCCACTTAAAGAAAAGCAGGGCTGCACAAGGAAACTGTGATGCAGGAAACCCAGATACTTGTGGTTTATACCACAAACCATGCTTAAGACAACCAGGCTAGGAAGAGTTATGTGACTCAGACCATAAATCCTCATATCTTTCCTCTTTCTCTTGTGGTTCGCAGTCCATGCGCCGGATCAATCGAGGGACAGTGGGGGGATATTTCTTGGCTGGAAGGAAGATGGTTTGGTGGCCGGTGAGTGGACCAAAAGAGGGGTGGGGGGAGATGAGACTACAGACCTCAATCAATTGAGGGATGGGATGGGGGGCACTCAACAAGATTTTAGAATAAGGGATGCAGCAAAGTAAAGTTATAGGAGGAAGAAGGAAAATCAAGTGGATTATTTGGGAAGGACAGGGATATGAAAAAATCTGTCGATGATGAGCATTAGGATTGGACTAGATCAAGGATCCCCAACCCCTGGTCTGTAGACTGACACCAGTTCGTGGCATCCCAGAAAACGGGCCACACCAACAAACAAAGCCCCATCTGTGGGATGCAGACAGCACACGTAACCATGCCCCCTCTGGTCCATGGAAAAACCTCTCTCCAGGGAACCAGTCCCTGTTGTCCAAAAAGTTAGGGGCCACTGGACTAGATGACCTCTAAGGTCTCACCATCATAGGATTTTATGATGGTACAATAAGGATAGGAGAAAAAGAAAAGTGACCTAAGTTACTGGATGAACTGGGAGACAAGACCACAGGGCCCGATAGATTTGGAAAGTCGAACAGGCTTTTTTTTTTTTTTTAAGAAAATTTGGTGGTTGTGTTCACAGATTGGTGCCTCTCTCTTTGCCAGCAACATTGGCAGTGGGCATTTTGTGGGATTGGCAGGCACTGGAGCAGCAAATGGCCTGGCCGTGGCAGGATTTGAGTGGAACGTAAGTAGCAGAGAGACAAGGTTGGGGGTTTTCCCAGGGCAGGGGTGGGTAGCTATGGCCTCTTTATGACTTGTGGACTTGTGGACTTCAACTCCCAGAATTCCTGAACCAGCCATGGGAGTTGAAGTCCACAGGTCACAAGGAGGACATAAGTTGCTCACCCTTGCCAAAAAGGAATCCCCATAAGGGGATAGCGCAAGACCCACTTCATTTGCTGAGCAGAAAGCACCAGAATATCCCTGATTTCGCCCTCCCCACCAGCAGAGAGAAAAGGAGTATCTGCAGGATAGAGGGGTCAAAAAAAGGGAGGATGCCCCCTACAATTGTGCAATGAGGCACATTAAGAGGAAGCCCTTTGATCGTACAATGTGAAGGCCACCTTGCCTTTTTGGATTCCCACCCCGCCCACAACTCTGTTGCTGTGGGAACAATTTTTATTTTGTCAATTTCCACAGATAATCAGTAAGAAGTGACTAATGCGATGCCGGAAAAAGCTTTACCTGTTTCATTTCTGCCTGTCACAAGCATCCAGAAGCTTTGATGAGAATTTGGAGGGGGGGAGAAAAAGATGGAAAGTTGATCTATCTTAGTTCTTACTCCATTTTGCTTTCTTTCTTTTTAGGCTATATTTTTTGTTCTTCTCCTGGGATGGTTCTTTGTTCCAGTTTACCTCTCCGCTGAGGTAGTGATTTCTTCTCACAATCACACATTTCTTTGTTTGCTTCTCTGTGGCATTTTTAATCTTCTCAAATAATCCAGGGGAGATCCATCATGTACAACTGAACCTATACATGCAACCTTCTACAATGCTGTTACAAATCTGGGACTGGAAGAACTATTAACCAACAATACTAGACTTAACAACTGCCTTGATCTCACCTTCTGCAATAGTTTGAATTTAATTTATGGAATACAAACTAAAGAACCCTTTTCCAACAGTGACCACAATATGATTGACTTTTGTCTCAACATAAGCCCACACAAAAATCATCACAATGACGTAATCCCCAATTATAATTTCAAAAAAGGCAACTATGATCTTATAGACAACAATCTCTCATCCCTTGATTGGCAATCTCTATTCACTGGATGCAATACTATTAAAGACCATTACAACATATTTTTACTTGAAGTAAAAAGAGTCATCAAACTATAAGTACCAATAACAACTCCCCCACCCCCCCAAAAAAAACAGATTACCCATAACAATAAGGAAACTTCAATCCAAAAAGAGATCACTCTGACGGAAAAACAAATCTGGTCACATTGCCAACTTCAAAAGCTGATACAAAAATTTATGCCACCAGATAAAGACTGAATGCACCAATTATACATTAAACAAGAGGAAAACCTTCTACGTACCAATTCCACCCACACTTTTTACAATTTTGTAAACAACAAACTAAAAGACTCAAGGTACATCCCACCCCTGATAGAACCTAATGGTAAAGACTGCAACGCCAACACCATTAAAGCCAACATCTTTAACACATTCTTTGACTCAGTATTTTTAAACAACAATGGATCATGGCCAGTATTTCCTAGCCGAACCACAGAAAACTACAATGATCTAATACATATCAATTTTACAGAAGACAATGTTGAAAAAGCACTACGCATTCTAAAACCATCTCTAGCTATTGGACCTGACGGAATATGTGTCTACTTCTTTAAAAAGCTATCCATTGCCATAGCAGAACCTCTAAGCATAATCTTTGAAAAATCTTTCAGGACCAGCTCCTTGCCAAACCTATGGTCACTAGCCAGGGTCATCCCCATCTTCAAAAAGGGAGACTCCAGCCTAGTTGAAAATTATAGACCAATCTCCTTATGCTGCGTCACCTGTAAAGTCATGGAATCAATTATTAACCAATCCATTATCCTCCACTTAGAGACAAACAACCTACTCTCTAATAAATAATTTGGTTTCAGAAAAAAACTATCCTGTAATCTGCAACTCTTACACTGCAGAAACATATGGACTACACAACTCGATCAGGGCAAAACAATAGATACAATCTACATAGACTTCTGTAAAGCCTTTGATTCAGTGGTACACGACAAACTACTACTAAAAATAAAATCTTCTGGTATCTCTGGACACCTGCATAACTGGATAGAAGCATTCCTGTCAAACAGACAACAAATGGTCAAAATTGTGAGCGTCCTATCAAATTCTGTACCTGTCAACAGTGGTGTCCCCCAAGGCAGTGTTCTAGGACCAACTCTTTTCATACTCTACATAAATGACCTCTGTGATCATATTAAGAGCAACTGTGTTCTCTTCGCTGGTGATGTAAAGCTATTCAACACCACAGACAATACTGCTACCCTTCAAAAAGATCTTGACTATGTATCAGAATGGTCAAACAAATGGCAACTTCAAATCTCAATAAATAAATCCTCTGTCTTAGATATTGTCAAAAAAAAAATCAGAAAATAAAATACAAGCTGAATAGTCAAGACTTTGTTGATGATCCAAACTCTGTAAAGGACATTGGAATACTCCTCACTTATGATCTAAGTGCTCGAGCCCACTAACTACATAGCCAAAAAGGCATTAAGAGTTGTTAATGTAAACCTACGTAGCTTTTTCTCTGATAATATCACACTACTAACTAGAGCATACAAAACATTTGCTAGACCAATACTCGAATACAGCTCATCAGTCTGGAACCCACATTACCTATCTGATATTAGAACAGTTGATAAAGTCCAGAAATATTTCACAAAAAGAGTTCTCCACTCCTCTACTCATTGTAGAATACCTTATGCCACCAGACTTAGAATTCTAGACCTAGAAAACCTTGAATTACGCCGTCTTCAGTCTGATCTAAGTATGGTATATAAAATCATATATTGCAATGACTTACCTGTCAATGAATACTTCAGCTTCAACCACAACAACACAAGAGCACACAATATATACAAACTCAAGGTTAACCACACCAAACTTGATTGCAGGAAATACGACTTCAGCAACAGAGTGGTCAGTGTCTGGAATACTCTACCTGACTCTGTGGTTTCTTCCCCAAACCCCAAAAACTTTAAACTTAGACTGTCTACTATTGACCTCACCCCTTTCCTAAGAAAAGTAGGGGGCATGCATAAGCGCACCAACGTGCCTACCATCCCTATCCTATTGTTTCTTTTATTTTTATTATATGTACCCATTTCATGTATTCATACCTATGGATATACTTATACCTATTATCTTGTAAGCAATTGACAAATCAAAACGCTTAATGCCTTTTTGGCTGTGTAGTTGCAGTGGGCTCTAGCATTTAGATCATTAGAGGTGAGAACTCCAAGGTCCTTGACAGAGTTTCGATCATCAACAAGGTCTTGACTATTCAGCTTGTATTTTATTTTCTGATTTTTTTTTTTTGACAATATGTAAGGCTGAGCATTTATTTGTTGAGATTTGAAGTTGCCATTTGTTTGACCATTCTGATACATAGTTGAAGTCTTTTTGAAGGGTAGCAGTATTGTCTGTGGTGTTGAATAGCTTTACACCATCAGCGAAGAGAACACAGTTGCTCTTAATATGATCACAGAGATCATTTATGTAGAGTATGAAGAGAGTTGGTCCTAGAACATTGCCTTGGGGGACACCACTATTGACAGGTACAGAATTTGATAGGACAATCCCATTTTTGACCATTTGTTGCCTGTTTGACAGGAATGCTTTTATCCAGTTATGCAGGTGTCCAGAGATACCATAAGATTTCAGTTTTAGGAGTAGTTTGTTGTGTACCACTAAATCAAAGGCTTTACAAAAGTCTATATAGATTGTGTCTATTGCTTTGCCCTGATCGAGTTGTGTAGTCCATATGTTTCTGTAGTGTAAGAGTTGCAGATTACAGGATAGTTTTTTTCTAAAACCAAATTATTTATTAGAGAGTAGGTTGTTTGTCTCTAAGTGGAGGATAATGGATTGGTTAATAATTGATTCCATGACTTTACAGGTGACGCAGCATAAGGAGATTGGTCTATAATTTTCAACTAGGCTGGGGTCTCCCTTTTAGAAGATGGGGATGACTGTGGCTTGAGACCATAGGTTTGGCAAGGAGCTGGTCCTGAAAGATTTTTCAAAGATTATGCTTAGGGATTCGGCTATGGCAGCGGATAGGTTTTTTTAAGAAGTAGGCTTTTTTAAGAAGTAGTCCCACCTTAGATATAAAAGCTGGCTAGGTGTCTTTGGGCCAATCACCAGGAGATGGTTAGCTCTAGTCCCGCCTTAGGCATAAAAGCTGGCTAGGTGTCTTTGGGCCAATCACCAGGAGATGGTGAGTTCTACTCCCACTTTAGGCATGTAAGCCATCTGGGTGACTTTGGGCCAATCATTCTCTCTCAGCCCTACCTACAGGGTGTTGTTGTGGAGGAAAAATGGAGGAGGAAGTAGTATTCATATGCTTGCTGCTTTGAGTTATCTACAAACTAATAATGGTGGAATAAAAGTCTGATCAAGAAATAATAAATAAGCATTAACATGTTCTCTGCTTCGTCCCACCTGTAGGTCATCACAATGCCACAGTACCTGAAAAAACGTTTTGGAGGCCAACGGATCCGTCTCTACCTCACCATCCTCTCTCTTTTCATGTACATCTTCACCAAAATATCAGTAGGTCATTTTCTCCAGACTTCCAGGACACAGTGACAGGATGTGGGGAATATTTGAAAATACAAATCTCTTTACTTTTGCCTTTTTAGGAAGGCTTGAATAATGTTCTGATGGTTTTTAAATTCTGATTAATCTGTCATTCTTCCTGGCGGCATTTCTGTTTCTCTCACCTGCAGGTGGACATGTTTTCTGGTGCTGTGTTCATCCAGCAAGCCCTGGGTTGGAATATTTATTTAGCTGTCATAGCGCTTCTGATCATAACCACTATTTATACTGCAACAGGTAACTTGGGTTCTTGGGGGAGGGATAGACTGGGTACAATGAGGTAGTCCTCAACTTACAACCATTCGTTTAGTGACCGTTTGAAGTTACAAATTTTCCTGAAAAAAATGACTTATGACCATCCTTCACACTTATGACCATCACAGCATTCCCACAGTCACGTGATCAAAATTATGGCTCTTGGCAACTGGTGTGTATATAGGATGGTTGCAGCATCATATGATCACACAACTGCTATTGACAACCGGCTTCTGACCAGCACAATCAAGGGGGGATCTTGGATTCTTTTAACGTCTTCATGACTCACATTATGACTGCAGTGATTCACTTAACAACTATGGCCAAAAAGGTCATAAAATTGAATGTGAGACACTTAACAACTGCCTTGCTTAACAACAGAAATTCTAGTCCCAATTGTGGTTATAAATTGAGGACTTACCTCTATTAAATAGGAAGCTGAAGTTCCTGGCCAATGTATTTTTAGTATTTATTTGATTTGTCGATCGCTTACAAGATACAGGTATAAAAATAAATATAGTTTTGAATACATGAGATAGATACTTATAAGAAGAAGAAAAAAATAGGACAGGGACGGTAGGCACGATTGGTGCGCTTATGCACGGCCCCTACAGGCCTCTTAGGAAGCGGGTGAGATCAATAGTAGACAGTCTAAGGTTAAAGTTTTTGGGGTTTGGGGAAGAAACCACAGAGTCGGGTAGAGTATTCCAGACATTGATCACTCTGTTGCTGAAGTCGTATTTCCTGCAATCAAGTTTGGTGCGGTTAACCTTGAGTTTGTATCTATTGTTTGCTCTTGTATTGTTATGATTGAAGCTGAAGTATTCATTTGCAGGTAGGACATTGCAATGTATGATTTTATATACTATATTTAGACTAGACCGGAGGCAGTGTAGTTCTAGATTTTCTAGGTTTAGAGTTTCAAGTCTGGTGGCATAAGATATTCTGCAATGGGTAGAGGAGCGGAGAACTCTTCTTGTGAAATATTTCTGGACTTTTTCAATTGTGTTAATATCAGGTACATGATATGGGTTCCAGACTGATGAGCTGTATTCAAGTATAGGTCTAGCAAATATTTTGTATGCTCTAGTTAGTAGTGTGATATTACCAGAGAAGAAGCTATGTAGTGATAAAATATATGTGATAAAATATAGCGGGGGGTGTGGGGGTGGGCTCCAAACACCAAGCCAAAAAGAAAGACTGATTTTCTTGTACGTTAGGCAGCAGGAAAAACATGGAAATAAATATGGAGGGAACAATCACCTGCTAATTGGAAGAATTCAGGAATGTCTGCAAGGGAAGGATCGAAAACGTGAAGCAGGCAACCCCACCCCTGTGATTGAAGCTCCACCCTTTTTACCTGCATCATAACTGTTTTTAATGATCTTGGACTTTGCATGATCCTGGCAAGATTAAAAAGCTACAGAAGCTGGGCCATAAGTTGGCATTGATGAAGAAGAATATTTCTGTAAAGAGCCTAACGTTTGTCTTTTTAAAAATGAAGTAAGAAGGGAGTATTTTCTTATCATTTATTCACTTATTCGAAGCCAGGCAACCAGGCTTAGTAGTACAGAACAATCCTATTTCTCCTCACATCCAGGGAGCCAAATCTTTTTTAGAATATTATTACCATTAAAAAATTCTTCTCTTTACCTCACAACCAACACTTAGGGGGCAGTAAGTGGGCTTACTTCCCTACTGGATCTTGTCTTGTAATTTTATCAAATTTACATTTGTCCCAGGAGTATCATTCCTCTTTCAGACAGATGCTACAAAAATCTGGATGCTCAAACAGCCAGGCAGAATGCCAGCAATTCAGCCCTCACTCGCACACAACCTACGCACACCACCTATCAGCGAATTAAACTTAATCCCTTCCAAAAAGAACAACGCAGTAGCCAGGAAGTAATCAGGCCAGAAATCTAGAAGAATTGTTCACAGAATGAACCTTTCACCCTCGGATGACCTGTCGGTTCCCTAAACACATACATGTTGAAGAATATAAACATAGAATAATAAGAGTTGGAAGGGATGTTTGAGTTTTCCTAGTCCCAACTCACTGCTCGAGCAGGAGACCATATATCGTTTCAATTAATTGGTTGTGTCCAGTCTCTTTTTGAAAGCCTCCAGTGACGGAGCACCACAACTTCTGAAGGCAAGCTGGAAATTTCTCCGTAGTTCTAGGGAGAAATTAGTTCTAGTTGTTTATTTCCTTGGTTAGTTTCCTTCCATTGTTTTTTCTCTTGCCTTTTAGTGCTTTGGAAAATAGTTTGCCCCCGCCCCCCCTTTGTAGGAGCCCCTCAAATATTGGAATACTGCTATCATGTCTTCCTTAATTCTTTCCATTACATTAGACATACTCAATTCTTGTAAACATTCCTTGTATGTTTTAGCCTCCAGCAGATAGATAGATAGATAGATAGATAGATAGATAGATAGATAGATAGATTATATAAGATGATAGTGATAAATGGTAGGTGATGATAGATAGATAGATATACATGACAGATAGTATATGACCAATAGATACATAGATAGATGACAGATCGACAGACAGACAGACAGACAGATGACAGATAGATAAATATGTGACAGATAGATAGATATGATAGATAGATAGATGATATAAGATGACAGTAATAGGTGATAGATGACAGATAGAGATAGATAGATAGATAGATAGATAGATAGATAGATAGATAGATAGATAATATAGATAGATGATAGATAGATAGACAGACAGACAGATGACAGATAGATATATGGCAGATGGATGGATGGATGGATGGATGAACGGTCGGAAAGACAGACGGACACATATATACTCTATAGGCAAGAAAGACTCAAGTGTTCTGAATCTCTTGTTTTAAGAGTAGCTTGTTACACATTATAGCCATGACATCTGATTAGTGACTAAGTAACACACATCTGAAGTTTCTTCCTTGACTATAAGGAAGGGCTGTATGGCAGGGGTGTTCAACCATGGCAACTTTAAGGCCTCACAAAATTCCTCAGCCAACCTGAAGTCCACAGGTCTTATAGCGGCACCAAGGTTGGATGCCCCTGCTGTAACAAGGTCTCCACCAGAGCTGCCTGTATCTTATTTCACAAAGGAGACCAAAACAAATCTTGGTTAATGAAACATCCCAAGATACATGATGTACAACTTAAAAGAATATAAGAGAAAACGTTTCAACTTACCAATTCTCTCTCCTTTCTTGAGAATGAGTTTTGCTTGGTCTAGTCAAGCTGGATATCAGAATTTCCAAACATATTATGATGGGGTTGCAAAACCAGGCCAAGCACCCATGGGCAGGTTCAGCAGCATTCCATGGGCAAGACCCTGACACAAGACAATGGGCTGTTTTATAATTAAGCAAGGAAACTATTTGTGTAAGAATACAATTGGTTACCCAAAAAATCCAAAAACAAAAAGTATGTGGTCAGATTTATGTTGGACAACAACAAAAAATTTTCCTAACTATAATATTCAAGTCTACATCCTTTCACATTTAATTCTAATAAAGTACAGTGTTTCTCAGACTTCACAACTTTAATAAGATTTGAACTTCAACTACTATGATTCCACAGTCAGCATGGCTGGTTGAGGAACTCTAAGAGTTGAAGTCCACCCATCTTAAAAGTTGTTGAGATGGAGAAATGCTGGTCTAGAGAAGTGTTTCTCAACCTTGGCAAGTTTCAGACATGTGGACTTCAACTCCCAGAATTCCCCCAGCCAGTTCCCCCAATTCTTGACAGCAAGCTGTAGACTTTACAGACAAAAGCCCTTGTGTTCAATGGTTAACATTTTCAGCTAACGTGAGGAAGACTTTAAAATAATTTTTAGTTTTGTTAATGTTTATTTTTGTAAATTTTATTTGAGTTTTCACAAAGAGAAAAAAAATACAAATAAAACATCTTTTTTGAAAGTAGCATAATCCCGGGTTACATTTCTTCGTATAGACACAAATTCAGGTTCATGCTCCTTTTTATATTCTAATCCATATCTTATTACTATTTTACATTTTCTGCATAGCTTCTCCCCTCTTTTAATTTTCTCAATTTTATTTTAATTATCTCATCTCAATTCAGATCATTGTATTTATAGCTTTTGTCTGTCCTGTTTCAATTATCTATTATCTTTTCTCATTAAACAAAATTTCTCCTGTAGTTACTGATTGGAGTAAGACGCCTTTATATCTTTTAAGTTTATCCATTTAACTCTTATTTAGGCTTCAATATATACCCTAAAGTTATAACATTCAATATAATACATAACTTCCATTCGGATTCTGCTTGGTACATTCTTAAAATACACACTATATTCTTAAAAAAAATTATAAATGTATGTAACTAAACACATTCCATTCCAATTCAATTCTATCATTAATATTAATATTCCTTAAAGTCTTAACTTCTTTAACATTACTTTTCAATTAAATATCATATATCTATGGGAACAATTATAAGCTTTCCATAATTAATTCACCCCCCTCTTCACTTATATTTTATAAAACATTAACTAATTAAAATGTTCCCGTTCCTTCCTAATTCAATTTTCTCAATTATTTTATTTCACTTATTTTATTAACAAACATTTCACTAAATGACACTATTTCATCCTCATTTTAATCATACATTGTTTCCAATTTTCTAAAGTTATTTCTATTACTAATATAACAATACAATCTTATGTACCTTTACAGAATCCCTTTTTCAGTTAGATTTTCACCCATTATCTCTAAATAGGTCCTGTTTCTCTATATCTTGCTCCGGTCGTTTGTAACTTCTTTTCCTTTCCTTCTTCCCTCTCTTCTTCTCTCTCTACTTTTTACCCCCTTGTCTCTCTACCTCTATTTCCCTCTTCTGTATTCCCCTCTTCTGTTGCTTTCCAGTATTATACTTATTTTTTGAATTATTTTTCTTTTCTTTGGTTGTTTTTTTAAGTCTTAAATTCTCCATTATCTTTCCTCCCTTTCCTTTTTCTTCACCACATGCAATTACTTGTTCATTAAAGATGGCTTCTTCTTTATCCCAGTCTTCTTGTTTTGCAGACATTTCTTGTTGTTTCTCATAGTTCCAAATCTCCATTTCTAAGAATTGAAAAATGAAGCCAAAAGAACCCTTCCCTTCTTGTGCATCTTCTTTGTACTTTTTAAGTTCCATTTTCAATTCATCCAGAAGTGATGCCATTGTATAAATTTTTAAACAACCACCTAATTAATTATAGTCATTCAAATGTAATAACCAAGAATCCAAAGATCACCAAATAATCCAAATTTATGCAAGCTGTTTCTTTTTGCTCTTTTTTTCACTTTCTCTTTCTGGGGTTACTGTTTAGTTACAAAGTTTCAGTTAAAGTGTATCTTTTAGAAGTCTTGTTGAAGTTTTACTGTAGATTCTTTTTAATTCCAGGCAGTCTCCTCCCTCTTCCAGATCCTGCCCTTATTCTTTTTCTCTCCCTTCCTGCTTATGAAAAAAATAATTATTATCCCTTTGGCATTTTGTTTTATTTTCAGCTTAATTGCCTATTGATGTCAAAGCAGATTTTTCCAATTTCTTATTTAAGTCTCTTAGTTGTCAGTATAGGGAAGGAGAGAGAAGGAAAAAAAACCCAAACCTTTCCCTTTTCACTTTCCTTCGCTGCTTCTGACTCTTCTTTGGGAGCGATTTTATTTTTTGTAAGTTTAAATTCCAGGGTACCTTAGTTGTTGCTTTTACAATTTAACCTGGTCAGCCAAAACTTTCACTTCTTATCTTCCTCCTGCACATTCTTTTCCAGTCAAGTTCTTCTTTGTGGTGGCCATTTCTGACCACCGCTGCAACCACCTTCGGGAAAGGGAGTAATGGCCAGCTGAGGAGGAGAGATGTGGCTCTCCTCAACCCTGCTGGCGGTCTCCCCGCTCTTCACCACCTCTACAGGGTGGCTTAGCCCCGAAACCAGCCAGCTCGGGGCACTCTAGCAGCGAGCCCAGATCGAAACTGTGCACGATCGCGGATTTCTGTCTGTCACCGAAGAGACTTCAAACTGGAAGCACTTTTCTTAATGTTTTTAAGAAACATAGTAAAAATTAATAAAACCAAATGAAAAGAAAAAGACAACAGAAAAGACAACAGAAGACAGTAATACAGAAATGGCTTCCAACTTGCCTCACGCCAAACCTAAACTAATATGCTAATGTTTCACCTTTCTTTTAAAATTACAAATAAAATGACGTTTTCTTCCCATAGCCTTTTATCCAGAAATCATAATCTTTTCAATCCTGCTTCAGCAAAACATACATTAGGAGTTAACAGAAATATTGAACAAATAGAGGAGAATATGTATAGCTCAGTGTTGAACTGTTGATGCTTTCTGGGCTTGGTTGTTTTCTTGCAGGCATTTCATTACCCAACAAGGTAACATCTTTGCGGCTAGAAGGGAATGGGATTTACTCTCTTGTTGCCTTGTTAGTGTTACCGGGGGTGATTTTTTTTTTTTTACTTCTTTGATTATGTTGTTATTTAAACTGAAAACATTACTTAGCTGGGTAATGAAATGTCTGCAAGAAAACAACCAAGCTCAGAGAGCAGCAAGGATTCCATAAATAAGAATAATTTATCCTGAATCAAACAATCCAATTTTAATGTAATTCCTTCTTTTTGCGCAATCTTGACCTTTAAATCCTTCCTATGGCATTGCAGGATTTGATCTTTCATCACTCTTTGGTATTTAAGATAAGTCTTCCAAGACTTTTCAAAACTACCAGCCTACTTTGTAAACCGCATAAGGAGACAATATCCAGGTTTCTTTGCCAAAGCTGTTCCAAATCCAGATCCTTTCCTTGAGTTTTCTTTTGCATTTCCATTTTGGTAATTTCAATTTTTGTGGTCTTCCATGTCTCCAGACTCTATAATATTTAGGTCAGGTCAATGTTTTTTTAAAAAATGTTCTTAGCGTCTTGTAAAAGTGTATTCATTGAAATCTATATTCTTTCTGAGATATTAATATCTCTCAATATTATTAATATTTCAGAACAAGTTAAAAAACACTATTTCAAATCTTTCTTTTTTTCCCCCTGCCTTTTGCCAATTGTATATTATTTTAAATTTTTGAGACTCTATTTAAAATTTCGTAAGAATATAAAACTCACCTAGTGCCAGTTTAAGCTTGCTGTTTTGAAAGTCTCTAATATTCATAAAATGATTAAACTGAACATTTCCAATGGTGATTAGAAAGTGTGTTTATCATGAAAGGCTCTGCTCCTGCTGTCCCTTGATGCTGTGCCTTGGCACTCAAACCAGTGAGAGACCTCTGTTTTATATTCTCCTGAGGAGTTGCGAATCAAAGCAGTTGTGGGTAATCTCTTGATTTCTCTTTCTCTGGAGAAATTCGAAGAACTGGTTTAACTTGGCAGTCTTTCATTCTACATAGCGGTTGCCATCTCTGCCCATTTGCAGAGACATCATCAGTTCACCATGACTCACACCAGAGTCCTGTGGGAAAGCATCTTTCAAAAAAGATGCTGCCTGCCTATACATGCTTGTAATGGATGTGTGGATGACCTTGGGAATGAGGGAAAAAGAAGTTACATAGGGAACAAACTAATAAGGGAGGGAGGAGCCCTCCTTCGCTTAACAGTCAGAGGAAGAAACTTAGGAAAGACCACCATAATGGATTGCACCCTTAAAAGTGGTGGTGAGAAGTTTGCATCTTAGATTTGGAAGATTCTGTTAATGTAGCCTTACAAAATTGTAGAATTAGCTCATCGAGTCATGTTTTCAATAAATAGGACAGTGTGTATGATTCTTTGAGGTAGAAGTCAGCAGAATTTAAAAGAAATCAAACATACAGAAAGTCCTGGTCTTACAACCATTCATTTAATGACCATTCAAATTTACAATGGCACTGAAAAAGTGACTTATTTCTCACACTTATGGCCATTATAGAATCCTCCTAATCAAAATGTGGGCACTTGGCAACTAGCATGTATTTATGACAGTTGCAGTTTCCCAGGGTCATATGATCCCCTTTTGCAACCTTCTGACAAGTAAATAGGGAAGCCAGAATCACTTAACAACTGTGTTGCTAACTTAACAATTGCAGTGATTCACTTAACCGCTGTAGCCAGAAAGGTCATAAAATGGGGCACAAATCACTTAACAACTGTCTTGCTTGCGACAGAAATTTTGGGCTCAATGGTGATCACAAGCCAGAAACTACTTATATAGTTCTCTCAAAATGCATTGCCTGCAGCCCTCATAGTCTTTCCTAGGTGGGTTTGTCCTTACAGAAGTTGAAGAATGACATTTAAAGGACGCTTGGTTGCCCAAATCAGATGCAGATAACAGAGAGCCAGTTGTATGAGGAACCAAAATAACACCATCATACCTGCATATGAATCTCCATCTTACTTTCAGGAGGATTGGCAGCCTTGATGTACACAGACACAGTCCAGACTTTTGTCATGGTTGGAGGTGCTTTCATCCTAATGGGGTTTGGTGAGTAAGATGCTGACTGGATACAAAGACTGAGTTCCTTCTATCATCTCAAACTGCAAGAACAGGTTCTAGTAGCCTCACACACAGGAAAGCACAATGGAAGTAGATGCAGGTAGTCCTTGAGGAGCGAGCGAGACGAAATGGTTGCCTAGTCTCTGCTCAAAGAAGAACGGGTCAAGCTATTCTCCAAAGGACCTGAAGGCAGAACAAGAAGCAATGGATGGAAATTAATCAAGGAGAACAGCAAGCTAGAACTAAGGAGAAATTTCTTGACAGAACAATTAATTACTAATTCTCTATAGGAGGAGTTCACGTTACATTATATCAGCCATTTATAATGTTCTGTCATTTTTATAAAATGTGATGCTCTGAAACTTTTGTCGCTACAGGAATGATGGGAATCTTCATAAAACAACCCCCAATTTTTAAGGACAAAAAAAATGAATGCCATTTCCACAGATTCACCTTTCTTTTGTGTATTTTTTTAAAAAGAGGCCTGATTTGAACCAGAGATAAATTGGATCAATAAATTTTTCACAACTTAGCCTTACTTACTAAAATCCTTGTAATGAACATGTTATATATTTGCATACTTACCTATGGTAGGTTGGTCCGTGGTGGCGGGAGATTTGAAGAGCCATCATTGGCCACTAGCCGCGAGCAGCCGGCTATAAAAAAGGCTGCCGCGGTTTCTCCGCATGCGATTACTAGAAAGAAAATAAAAAGGAAAAAGTCTACTGGGTCTCGAGTCTCTTTTCCCACAATGCAACAGAACATAATTATATAAGTCTTTTGATTTTGCACATAATGTAATATCATTCTGCCATTTTTGCAATTACACATTCCTTAGTTAAATTATTCAGGTTCAACTGATCCTTTTGATCTAAAACAAAGGTTAACTTTTCAAAAACAGTAACAACAAACCTGCTCTTCCGGGTTTGCAATTTCATTGCACAGTCAGAGGGAGGGAAGAAATCTCCAATTTGGGAAACAGGGAGTGTAATGTAACATGCAGATGTCTGAATAAAAAATGCTACTTCAGTTCCAGCGTGACCATGACTCTCTTCCCATACAGCCTTCAATGAAATCGGAGGTTATCAAGGATTATTTGACAAATATATGGAGGCAATTCCCAAGCAGACACTTTCACCCATCCCTGCCCTCTACAACATCTCGTCTTCCTGCTACCTGCCCCGTGAAGACTCCTTCCACATGATCAGAGATGCCACCACTAGCGATCTGCCCTGGCCAGCTGTCATCCTCGGTCTTTCCATCAACTCTATCTGGTATTGGTGCAGTGACCAGGTACAGAATGATTTCTAGGGAAGGGTAAGGGGAATAAAAATAGGATGTTAATTTCTGAAGAATCACAACCCTTTAGTCTGAATTAAACTCACACTTCCTTGCTTACAATGCAACAGAGCTGCCTAGAAGCATCACACTACCTACATATGATAGTAAATCCTGCTATTATGCCTAAGAAGGTTGAAGTTTTCCTAAAGCTTTCAATTGGAAGTAATTAATCAATCAGAATAGAGCTGGAATTGACCTTCAAGGTCTTCTATTCCACCCCCACCCCCTGCTCAACAGGAGATCCTATACTGTGGTGGGATTCAATTTTTTTTACTACCGGTTCTGTGGGCGTGGCTTGGTGGGCGTGGCAGGGGAAGGATACTGGAAAATCTCCAGTCAGAGTGAATTTGCCGGTTCTCCGAACTACTCAAAATTTCCACTACCAGTTCTCCAGAACTGGCCAGAACCTGCTGAATACCACCTCTGATCCTATACCATTTCAGACAAGTGACTGCTCAGTCTCTTTTTAAAAAACTCTCCAGTGATGAAGCACCCACAACTTCTGAAGGCAAGTTGTTTCACTGGTTAATTGTTCCAACTGTTAGGAAGTTTCTCCTCCGGGTTATGCATAACCTTTGATTATGCCCCGATTGTTCGTTGGTGTGGAAGGAAAATTACTTATATTTAAGGCCAAATTTCTATTAAGTTGAATTCAACTTCTAACTTTATATCCATCTTGCTAATAGTACAGAGCCTCTGCTTCTTTCAGATTTACTTATTTTTGCTTTTCTAATGTACAAAATGTCATGGTGGATTCTCATCGAAGCATTACCCAAATACAACCATGTGTAGCTTTTTCAAGCTCAGCCATACTTAGCTAGGTACTCTGACTTGTAGTGAGACTCACCTTAAGAAACATCCATATCTTGAATTCTACATATCCTTAAACTTTATTTATATATAGATAGTGGTCCTCAACTCACAACCATAATTTGATCTGCATTATCGTAAGTTGTGCTGGTCTTTAAATGGATCATCACAAGAATGTCCCTGACTTTACAACTTTTATTGCAGCAGTCATTAAGTCAATCATTTCCCTTTTTATAACCCTGTAATCTCTATTCAGGGTACCACTGTGGTTGTTAAAAGAAAACAATGTGGACACTAAGCGAATTTATTATCTGCAATGGGTTTTGGGTTTTTTTAGAGAAACCAGAAATAAATGCCTGTTTCCTGCAAAAAAAAAGTTGTAAATTATAGTCGTGTGATTGTGGGACACATAGCCAAGCCCTAAAAGTGATCACATGATCATGGGGTATGGTGTGGTGACTGTCAGAATTACAAATCCAGGTTGTTAATAGTCCTGGGAAGGTTTGTCAAAACTTTGAATGGTCACTAAGAGTTCGGGCATACGTTTTGACTACTTATATTCTCAACCTATGTTTTGTAAGGTCAAAGATATAAAGAAGGATAGCTTTCCTTGACTGTTGGTGTGCTAATAAAGACAAATACAATTGCCTTAAAAATCATCGACTAATTTTCTTCTGCGCTTCCCTTTTTGTGGTTGATCCTGAGAACTTAAGTGACAGGTGTTTGAAAGTTGAATCATGGCAATTGGACTTATTTTCTTGTTGGTTTGAGACTTTTCACTGTTCCTCAAGCAGCTTCATTAGATGTTATCCAGGTCATGGCTGTCCCAAAAGGCAACTAGACTTGGTTTTTCCTTGAAGACATTTCACTTCTCATCTAAGAAGCTTCTTCAATTTTGACCTTTTGGGCAGCTTCATCTGACAGACCAAGTTAGGCAAAGAGTCATCGGAATGTACCAACTCATCCCACACCAATCTCAGGGGTTTCTTCCCCAAAGTATGTGGCAATGTTGATGAAACATCTCAAGCCAACAAGACAAGATGTCCAGTTGCCATGACTCATCTTTCAGGCAATTTTACCTGGATGACTGAAAAATCTTCATGACTTAAATGACAGATGTTAACACTTAAGAGGATGACCAGTCAGAGAATGAAAGTACCAAATAAAAGAACCTGAAGGCTCTCTGTGTACCTAAACCACATTTTCTGCATTTCTGATGGAAAAAATGTTGGGAATTGTAATAACATCTGGAGGTGCATTTCTATCTCTGATGCGTTTCTGAGGCTACATGCCCTCAGATTAGGGCTTTAAACTAGTATAAAGAACTACCAGTTTTCCTCTTTCTTCTTCAAGGTTCCATCCAGAAGTTAGACAAACATAACCCATATGTTTTCAGTTTAGAAGAGTTCATAGGAAATGAAAATATTTCCCTCCATTTATTAAAATTGAGTCCTACCAATGTGTAGGAAGCCCCTCCCTTCCTAGATAATGAAATATTCTGGAGAAGATTAAAAGAGAAAGTAAAGGCAGAAAGCAACATGATTTTTAGACATAATAGGATTCACCGACTACCATTAGGATTAACCCACCAAAAATAGTAAAGACACAAGGCTCACTACATTGCACAACCCCCTGGAGCATCTCAACTACCGAACCCCAGAACCCTATAAAAATCCACTCACTCATTCAGCCATTTTGTCAACCATCCCAGAAACATGCTGACATTGAAGTTTCTGGAAACCAAATAAACAGAGACCTTCTTTCCAACCAGCCAGCCTCCATATTATTTCTAGTGCCTTTCTCCCAGCTTGGAACCGGACTAGGCTTTTCTTCCTTCACATAGAAAAATGCTTCTGCAGATGCCTTGTGGAAAAGGAAAGCTCCTGTTTAACAGGAGTCAATTCTCTGTAATGGCCTCCATGGGTGTCCACCTTAGCCTCGGCCATTTTTAAAGAATTTTCCATATGCTATCTAATGCAATTCCATGCTAAGACCAACTTTATATCAAAATATCCCATTTAAGAATGTTCTTTGTGGCCATCTAGTTGTTCAACCCCATAAACCTTATGTGAAGATGAGGACACCCTAGAGCAGTGGCCCCCAACCTTTTTTGTGCCATGACCCGGTACTGGCATCACAAAATGATCCGCGGCCCAGTACCGGCATCAGCACGCATGACAAGGCAAGGCGAGCTGAGTGACCGGCCAGCCAGCCGTCCCCCGCTTCTCCCCACCACCTTCAACTCCTCCTTTGTACCTTTGTCAATGGGCTTCACTTCGGGACGGCTTCGGGACGGTCGCTCAGCTCGCCTTGCCTTGGGTGCTGAAAGAATACTCGTGCCTTAGTTTCATTCGAAGCCGCCGCCCCCTTCGATGAAACTAAGACGCGAGGATTCCTTCAGGACCCAAACGCCGCTTTCCAACTGGAAAAGCTCACCCGGAAGCACTTTCTCATCAAACAAGGTGGCGGCACCCAGCAAACCGGCGGCCCGGTAGGAAATGTTTCATGGACCGGTACCGGTCTGCGGCCCGGTGGTTGGGGACCCCTGCCCTAGAGCACAAATGAAGAAGATAGCATTGATGCTTTCCAGCAAACCTTCCCATTTGCATCCCATGTAGGTCATAGTACAGAGGTGCCTGGCTGGAAAGAACTTGACCCATGTCAAAGCTGGCTGCATCCTTTGTGGGTACCTCAAACTACTACCGATGTTCCTCATGGTAATGCCTGGCATGATGAGCCGGATCCTGTATCCAGGTAAACCTCTAAGGTGATGGTTGGAATGTAGATATCAGAAGAAAAATGAGAAACAGTTGATCTAAGTGAGCCAAAGAACAGTCTCAGATGCTACGGCTAGTCCTCAACTTACAACCACAATTGAGCCCGAAATTTCTGTTGCTAAGTGAGAAGGGGTGGTGAGTTTTGCCCCATTTTATGACCTTTCTTGCCACAGTAGTTAAGTGAATCACTGCAGTTGTTAAACTGGTAATACAGTTGTTAAGTGAACCTGGCTTCCGCATTGACTTTGTCAGAAGGTCGCAAAAGGGAATCACATGACCTCAGGACACTGCAATTGGTTATAAATATGAACCAGTTGCCAAGCATCCAAATTTTAATCACATGATCATGGGGATGTTGTGGCAGTCATGTGAAAAATGTTGATAAGTTACTTCTTTCAATACTAAACAGTCACTAAATGAATGGTTGTTTGGCAGGGTTGAGGTAGCTGAGAATACAGCCTCTAGTTTCAAATTGATCTAGATGTTGCATAATATAATATCAACTGTATTAATTTTGTATGGATTGTAAACATTAATTCATTGTAATTGTAAATATGTATTAATTTTATTTCAAACAAGGAAACGTATTTAATTCTTGATCTAGTTACATTAGAGTCAGTATTGTGATGTTCTCGATCTTGGTTTACCCATTGCTTATAAGCAGGTAACAGATAACAGATTATCAGAGTTGGAAGGGACCTTGTAGGTCATCTCGTCCAACCCCCCATCCAAGCAGGAGACCCTACACCATTTCTGACAAATGGCAGTCCAATCTCTTCTTGATGGCTTGTTCTTGTTCTCCTCCCAGCCTGCCACAGAAGCTTGTAGTGCGAAAATAATTATTAACAATAAAAAGTATTGTGCAGAGAAGTGTTACGAAGAGAGTTACGGCACACTTCTCTAAAACATATAAACAATGGTTGCTGGATTTGGGTAGGTCTAGTTTAATGAAAAGAAGGATTAGTGGTGACATAATTGCAGTGTTCCAATAACTAAGGGATTGCCACAAAGAAAAGGGAGTCAATCTATTTTCCAATGCAGAACAAGAAGCAACGAAACCAGTCAAGGCAAGAAGCAACCTAAAACTAAGGAGAAATTTCCTGACAGAACAATTAATCAGTGGAACAACTTGCCTCCAGAAATTGTGAATGCTGTTTAAGAGAGCGGACAACCATTTACCTGAAATGTTATAGGGTTTCTGACCTGAGCAAGGGATTGGACTAGAAGACCTCCAAGTCTTCCAGTTTTGTTATTCTAAGTTTCCAAGAGTCTGCCTGATTTTGGGGCTGCTATGGAGATGGCCTCTAAATGGAATGGGGATTTGATACTTTCAGAGAGAATTCCATATAATTTTCTAGTATGTTAATTTATATGGGCCCCTAGTAACTGACTCTGCTGTCCATTATGACTTAAAAACTTTCGTAGAACTTGCTTGAGTGAGGTAAAGAAAGTGAAGACCAGGAGACCAGCTTTAGTTGTTCTTATAACACATTCCCTACTGATAGAAACGATTGTATTGGTTAATTTGGACACACGTTGACAATTATAATATGTAAGGCTACTCTACTCTACTCTCTACTCTCTTCTATTTTTTCACCAGCCAGTGATTAGGTATATGTTCAAGATTCTTAGAAGACCCTATCAAAGAACTCAACTCAACATAAGGCTCAAACCTAAGTTTAACGCTACCCAATTTTACAATTTAGCATTATTCTCTATTTATTTGCTATTTTCAAGCTATGAAGTCTTTCTTCAGAAATCACTTAGATTGGTCAGCTGGCTCTCTTGGGCTCAGTCAACACCCTCAAATTATCCTCTGCTCCGGATGAATGAGGTTCCACTTCTGTGACCCCAAAGTATAAATCACAAGGGCTTTGTGAGGTCCTGGAATCAGTGCCACTGGAGCCAGGACCTCCCTGTGAGTTTGTTCAGCAAGGAAAGCAATGTATTTATTTTCCAGGCACGTAAAGAGTTCTGGCAGTGCAGCAACTAAACAGGCTGGATTTCTTTTCTTGTGATCCTCTAACTTTGTGATAAGTGGTAGTGAAGTGGCAATTGCCAAAGAGTTGATGTTTGTGCAGTTAAACAGCCCATGATGTAATGATTATAACACCAGGCTAGAAAACAAGAGATTGTGATTGCTAGTTTTGCCTTAGCCATGAAAGCCAGCTGAAACCCCCAATTCTCTCAGCAAAACTCCCCTCATAGGATTGTTGTTCTTGTGGGGAAAATAAAAGGAGAAGGTCTATTAGTTATGTTCACTATCTAGAGTTATTTGTAAAAATAATAAAGCCCCATTTTACAATCGTTTTTGCAATAATCTTTAAGCAAATACAGCAGTTATAAAGCAATTGCCAGTGTTATTAAGTCTACCTATTGTTTGCTATGAGGAAGTTTTTGCCAGAACCCGGAAGTAAAGGCCAGTTTCTAGCAAAAACATCATAAATCATAGACATAAGACTGTGGGTGCTGGAAATAGCCATAAATGCAGATTGCCGGGTGCCAAAAATGCAGCCATGTGATCATGGGGGCATTGGGAATGGATGTTAGAACTTTAAATCCAGGTTGAAAGTCCTATTTCAAAGTCTGTCATAACTTCCAACAGTTGCTAAGCTACTGGTCATAAATTGATGACTATCTGAATCTTATGTTGTATAGATAGACTTGACTTATGACCACAATTGAGCCCAACATTTCTGTTGCTAAGTGAGACATTTGTTAACTGACTTTTGCCTCATTTTATGACTTTTCTCACCACATTCATTAAGTGAATCACTGCAGTTGTTCAATTAGTTACACAGCTGTTAAGCGAATCCAGCTTCCCCAGTGACTTTGCTTGTCAGAAGGTTGCAAAGGGGGATCACATGACCCCAGGATGTTACAACCATCATAAACATGAGTCGGTTGTTGAGCATCCAAATATAAATCACATGAACATGGGGATGATGGATTGGTCATAAGTGTGAAATATGATCCTAAGTCACTTTTTTCAGTGCTGTTGAAACTTCGAACAGTCACTAAGTGAACTGTTGTAAGTCAAGGACTACCCATATAGCACTGATGGATATCCAGACAGCCTTTTTCTATCTGCCGAGAACTTCAACTGCTCTTTTCCAGCATGGCCACAGCCCCTATCCTCCTTTCCCACGGGAAGGATACTGTCCGCGAGAAAATGAGTTCTCCCCGCGTCTCTCAGCTTCTCGTCAGGAGGAAGAATGGCTTATGTCTTTGGTTGATTACAGGATAGGAGAGCAAACCGCCCTGGGCTGAGACATGCTGAAACATTAGGGTTGGTTAACTGTCACAAGTGAAATGTTGAAAACCCTTCGTTTGAAATTAAAATTTAAGCGCCAGAGCATTTAAATGAAATTAAATCCTTCAGAGGAAAAATATAGGCTGTCCATTTATAGCAGGGGTGTCAAACTGGATTTCTTCTAGCACCAGATCAGCATTGTAGTTCTCCTCCGTGGGCCATCTGGCCGGGACTGGGGGATTAGGCAGGGCCGATGCCTTCTGCACCATGTTGCCGATCAAACGGGGCACAGGAGGTCTGCGCAGGGCACAGCTGTGCCCTGTTTTGGCTGGCTGAGTGTTGCAGGAGGCCATCCAGGCCGACCACAGGCCGGTCCATTTGCTATTTCCAGATTTAAGCATCCCAAGGACCAGATCCAGCCTGCAGGCCTTGAGTTTGACACCCCTGATTTATAGGGTCTCCTACTTGAGCAGGGGGCCTGAATTAGAAGACCCCCCAAGGTCCCTTCCAGCTCTATTCAGATAATTTTAACTTCTTTCCCTATTATTCTGCTGAAAGGGAGAGAAAAATCTGCCAGTCTTATTAGCTCTACCTCTTAACATTTATATTGCTGGAGGGAGGGAGGGAGAGAAGAGAGAATGAGAGGGGGGAGGGAGGGAGGGAGGGGGAGAGGAGAGAGAGAGAGAGAGAGAAGTATGAGAAAAATTATCATAAATCCCTTGATTGATGACAGGTAGAAGATACCAATTTTAATAGAAAGGCAGACAGATCCTTCTCAAAATGGAAACTTCTTTAATGTGCAACATCTATATCAAACGAGTCTAAATGCCACCATTTTTCTACAAGAAAACATTACTTCTCTGAGGAACTGAGGAGTTGGTTTTTAGTCTCCTACAGAGAAAATCCCTAGACCCTTCCTCCATCTCCTCCCCAGTTAATTTAAGAAGGTAGTGCCTCAAGATGGTGGCTCACAAATTTAGAAGTGAAGTATTTAGATGGTGAAAACACTTCTTTGCACCCAGCAGAAACAGCATATGGTATATACAACATTTGTTATATACATCTGTGTGCACATACACATTCATATGTTAACACAGCATTGTTACCTGCATCACAGGAGAATTGCTCATCCCCTTCTTCTTCTTCTTCTTCTTCTTCACTTTACAGACGAAGTAGCTTGCATCATTCCAGATGAATGCAAGCAAATATGTGGCACAGAAGTTGGGTGTTCTAACATTGCCTATCCAAAATTGGTTGTGTCTCTCATGCCAAATGGTGAGAATAAGGTTGTTTCCTTCTTGACCCCAATACACTCGCTTTAGCCGAAGAGGGGGTGGCAGCAGCTTGTAACAGCTCCTTGACTTGAAGAGCACCTGCAAAATCAAACAACTTGTGTATCTAGTTGGGACCATCAACAGTAATGGTGGAATTTGACCAGTCAGAGAGCAGGATTTGGGTCTACCATTGAATTAGAGTCCCAGCTGTGCTGTGAATTTAACCAGCTGCACAGCCCGAGGGATGCTGAACGCTGGAATTCATTCCATTATGTTTTATTACCACAGGCCTTCGGGGGCTGATGTTAGCAGTGATGCTGGCAGCCCTCATGAGCTCCCTAGCCTCCATCTTCAACAGCAGCGGTACCCTCTTCACCATGGACATCTACAAACGCTTGAGACCCCAAGCCAAGGAGAGGGAGCTGTTGATTGTGGGCCGGTGAGAAAGAGATCTGGGACACCCTATGTTCATGTACCCTCTTCCCTTGCTATTGCAGTAGCAACCGATGACATCTTGTTAGTCTTCCTCCATTTGGTGCCCTACAGATGTGTGTTATGATTACTGTAATTCTTGCCATGCTCAGCCAGATGGGGGAAGACTGGTGATACCAACCAATTTAAAGTTTTAGCTCAAAGGATGGCAACATTTTCAAAGAGTGAGGGGAGTTGTGCATTGATGCAGACACCAAAAAACCATTCATTCATTCATTTTCTTTCATTCATTCACTCATTTTCATTAATTGCAAGAAAGTTAATATTCTCACTTGGAATCTACAAGAACTAATGCATGGCCCCTGAAATCTTGCAAGGTCTGGCAAATTCATGAGATTTTAACCATTATTTTCTTTAATTTGGGAAGTTGGAAGGCATCAACAAGGATTGTTAATGGTACACACTGGCACCTCACCACTATAAACATTACAAGGTTCCCAAATTTGCCCACTTCTCTGATATTTTGGCCATCTTGAGGGCCATGTCAACTGCAGTAGAAGCATGAATCTTGGAATTTACTTGCACCATGAGATAAGTAAATTTTACATGGGTGTACTCACCCAAATCCTTTCCCACCCTCAATTAAACCCCACTTTGCAAGCTTGTCCCTGCATCACGGGCAAGGGATACATTTTCACTCTGCTGTTTTTTTTCTACAGGGTGTGGATCTTGCTGCTTGTGGGGATCAGCATTGCATGGATCCCTGTGGTACAGGTTGCCCAAGGTGGACAGCTCTTTGACTATATCCAGTCCATCAGCAGTTATCTGGCCCCACCCATTGCTGCCATTTTTCTCCTTGGAGTTTTTGTCAAAAGGCTTAATGAGCAGGTGAGCAGGTTAAAAAAAAAAGTGACACAACCAACCACGTACTCCACATAAGAGGTGAGATCCATCCGAGGGGAACCACAAATACTCAAAATAGGGAAAATAAGAGTACCCGAATTTTAAGCCCAGTTAGAATGGTGGCATCTGGACCACCTTAAGTGCCTTAAGCTAATTTGGACTTCTTATATAGTTAAATAGCAATAGCACTTAGACTTATATACTGCTTCACAGTACTTTTACAGCCCCCTCTACGCGGTTTAGAGTCATAAGTGACCATTCAGAGATTCCAGATACTGGGAAGTTGAAAAAAACTGTATCCCTAAGAAGGCAGAAGACTGCCAAGTACCAAAGTCATCAGGACTTAGGTTGAAGTCAACTGTTTCATGATACACAGCCTTGAAGATGGAAAAACATTGGTCTGCTAGCATGGAGAAATAGAGGTTAAAGACGTCTGTGTCGCACATACTTCCAACTGAGGGCTCTTTCGTACTCTCTGAACTTGCTTGTTTTCTTGAAGACATTTCAATACCCTAACTAGGTAACATCATCAGTGTTACCACTGATGAGGTTACCTAGTTAGGGTACTGAAACCTCTGCAAGAAAACAAGCAAGCTCAGAGAGCACCAAGGACCCCTCATTTCCTCCCTGAGCTATATTCTCCTTTATTGACACTTCCAACTTTTTAACAATCATGCTTTCCCCAGATTTGCAATGGTCTCCCAGTTTTAGGAATAAGGGCCCCAAATAGGAGCAATGTGTCCCTAATAAAATGTGAAAGCTCCTTTTTGCTTGTCCTCACCCTCCTTGTTCCTTTTCAGGGTGCATTCTGGGGCATGATGGGAGGACTAGCCATCGGCATGGCTCGAATGATCCCAGAATTCATCTATGGAACAGGGAGCTGCCTCTTCCCAAGCAACTGCCCTCGCCTGATCTGTGGGGTCCACTACCTTTACTTTGCCATTATCCTGTTCTTGGCCACAGCTGCCATTGCAGTGGGGGTCTCGCTCTGCACTTCACCAATTCCTGATAAACATGTAAGTACAGGGGGAGTTTATGGGGTGAGGGGGGGAAGAAATAATACCAGAGCATTGGAATACAAGTAGTCCCCAACATACGACCACAATCGGCACCAAAATTTCTACTTCTAGGCAAGGCACTTGTTCAATGATTCATGCCCAATTTTACAACCTTTTTTTTGCCATGGTTGCTAAGCAAATCACTGCCATTGTTAAGCGAATCTCTTTCCCCATTGACTTTGCTTGTTGGAAGGCAGCTGCAAATGGCAATCATGAGATATCGCAACTGTGGGGAGCTGCACAAAGTGTGAGAACTGGTTATAAGTCAATTTCTTCAGTGCCGTTGTAACTTTGAATAGTCACTAAACAAACAGCTGTAAATCAAGAACTACCTGGACATCTTCTGAGACAAGGACCTAAAGAGAGTGTTTTAAGAGTGGTGCTTCCTTCCCCATGTCCCTTTAAAATACTTCCATTTCAGACCTCCAAATCACAGCGGACTAGAAAGGTTCCCGCTCTTTCATATACTAAGATAAAAGAGGACTTAGAAACCTGCAAGAGTTAAGCTTCACCTGTTTTGCATTATAAACCATAGCTTGGAACAATACATTAATACAGAATGTTTGTTGATATGGGTGTAAGTAGGTGTTCTTCTTTCCATCCATCCATCCATCCATCCATCCATCCATCCATCCATCCATCCATCCTTCTTTCTCTCAAACACACACACCTGAATTTAGTACATTTTTAAACAAGCCTGAATTGGCTTTTAATTTCCAGTGGGGAGTCTCCCTCCCCTCCCCCCCGCAATATTCCTCTAATCCTCAACAGTCCACCTGCCCTCTCTTCCCAGCCACCCACTTCTCATGTTCTAATTGGGCCTGGTTTTCTAATTCTTTCAAGGCCCTAAGCTGGTCCATAAACCTCTTGCATGGCAATTGAATTATTTAGAAGTTGTCTTCCTAGGCCCTGGCAGGGATTCCAAAGAAAATCAGGGGTGGTGACATCGGGGAGATTCCAGGGAATAGACCTGGAATCACTCGCCTCCCTCACTCAGAAACCGATTACCTGACAACTGAACGCACCCATTTCTCCTTTATAAAGCCAAGCTAACGTTTTCCAGTTTGTTGTCGTTGGGCAACGTTTCCCAGAATCCCCTTCCTCACCCAGTCATTCTGTTTCACCGTTCATGCATCTTAAAACGTACATTCTGCCAACCTAGCTACATCGCCTGGTATTCAGCCTCAGGCACAGTAAAGAGACACGGATCAATCTGGATACAGAAGAGGAGGAGGAGGAGGAAGCACAACGGCGGCAGCAGCGGCAAGCAGAGAACGCAGCCACCGGGAATGGAAGACCAGAGCTGGTCCTAGAAGTGGACGGTGAGGGGATGCTGTGCCATCTATTTATTTGATTTATAGCTTTCCTTCATCCTGGAGCTCAAAGGAGAGCCAGTTTGGTGTAGTGGTTAAAGTGCTGGCCTAGAAACCAGGAGACGGTGTATTCTAGTTCTGCCCTGGGCAAGAAAGCCAGCTGGGTGACTCTGGCCAATCACCAGGAGACTGGGAGTCCTAGTTCAGCCGTAGACATGAAAGCTGGCTGTGTAACTTTGGATCGATCACTCTTTCTCAGCCCAACCCACCTCATAGGGTTGTTGTTGGGCGAGGGGAAGAAAGGAGGGAGGAGTATTGAGTTACTTATAAAATATTTTTATCGCTTTTTAAAGTATCCTTATTACTTATAAAGTAATAAAGGCAGGATAAAAATTAAATAAATAAAACAGATTCCTTTTTCCTTTGTGGTAGGCTGAGTAAGAGAGCGTAACTGGTCCAAAATCATCTAGTCAGGATGGACTTGAATCTGGGTCTCCCCAGGGCCAGTCCAGCCTCTTAAACACTATACACCCCCATTAGTTCTTACTTATATGGTAACACACATCTGGACAATTCTAGTGTGTCCCCAAATCATCAAATTTCCTGAGTGTATGTTTGACTTTCCTTTTGAGTTAGCCCTTGTCATAATTTCACAATCACTGTAATGTTTTGAGAGAACCCTAACCACAGATGCCTCTTCCCTCTCCATGCAGATCCCAAAACAATGACCTCCTGTGGCCGACTATGCCAAGGCCTAGCCTGGTTTTGTGGGATGAATTCTGGCAGCTCAAAGGAACCAGAACTGAACCCAGAAGAGAAGGACAAGGATCTCCAGCATCTGGCAGGCATCACAGAGCACACGCTCTGGAAGCAAGTAGTCAACATTAATGCTGTGATCATGATGGCCCTGGCCATCTTCATGTGGGCCTTCTATGCCTGAGGATCCTCAACAGCTCAATAGAATATGTTGCTCACCAACCTTATTACAGCTACATCCCATCAACCCATCAAGCCCAGAGAACAACAAGAGCAAAAAGATGGCACCAGGAGGGACTGTCGAACAGTCATCTGGACCATTTGCCATTATCCAAAACACTGAAGATACAACTATGTCATCCAAGTCAACATTCATCAAAACTCATCTCAACTAACTCTTTGGAAGACCATTTCAAGTCATGAAAAAGAAAAGCCACTCAAAACTGTTGACAGTTGGGAGTTAGAGGGAAATTTATTCTTCTTAAGTGTCCAGATGATTTGGATTGTTCAATTTTCAGAGTCTTAGAAACCATGTCAGGCAGGAAACACCAAAGCCACATGCTAAGTTCCAATTAAACTGATTTATTACTTGTGCCTAGGCATGGGAATCTAGTCAACTAACAAAATAGCGCTATTTTGGTTCTAGATAAGGGTCAATGGAATTCAAGAGGAGTTAGATTCAATCAGTTTGTGGCTACGTAATGACTCTAAGCTGATTCCTCAGGCTTTGCTATTACTTCTCCTACAAACATTTTCTTACTTGTTGTAATTTCACAACTGGTCACCTAAACCAGTGGGCCCATTTGGGCATTAGGACAGTTCCAGTGGAGACAGGTTTTCCATGGATCAGAGAGGTGTGGCTTCGCATGCTGCCTCCATCCTGCGGATGGGGCTTCACTTTAGTGCACAGTTTCGGCATGCCACAGCCCAGTACCAGTCCACGGACTAGGAGTTGGGGACTCCCGATTTAAACTACCTCAAATTATGATTATATATAATTCTCCAGATTACATGCTTATCATGGTGTGTTTGCCTCAGTGTCCTTCACAAATATTTATGCTCCCCAACCTTATGCCCCTCTCGTGTTCTCCTCCTCCACAAAGAACTGCTGAATTTATTCCAGGATTTCAATACATGTAAGTCACCAGGTGCCCTTTTATTCCTCACTGCCATGAGAAGGGGCACCCACTTATTCTCTTCTTCCACAATGCTTTGTATTCCATTCCATCCCTTCCAGATCTTTGGAAACGAGAGACAAAAACAAGAAAATAAACCCTACATTCAGAAGACCCGGGGGGCGGGGGGGGGGGACAAACTAGTCATAGCATCTGTGTATACTGCACGGGAGAAGACAAGGGAACAGATGTAAAAGAAAATTGACATATTTCTCTTTAAGGTAAAAAATCAAATCTGTGAGTTAAAAATCTATGTAAGCAAAGAGAGGAATACCCCATACTGAACAAGGCATACCCTGGTAGTCTTCGTGTAGCGACTGCCTCAGACAATGACCATTCACAGTTATGATATAGTGATGCAAAAATAACTTTGCAACTGAACCTCGCATTTATAACCTTTGCAGGTCTGTAAAGCAAAGGAAAGCTGAAGTAAGACCATACACACAACTGCAATTCATTTAACAGCCACTTCAATTAATGACCAGGTTGTCCTTCCCAATTGTGGTCACTAAATGAGGATTACCTGTACCATTAAGCACCCATCTATTACATTTCGCAGTACTGCTCTGAAAATATATATTAGTTTTATTCCCAAAGGCAAAATACGTAAACACTTCATCACATTTAAAAAAATTTAATTGGAAAGAAGTTAGATCTTATGTTGTGCACCTCATCATTATTTTACAATTAAAGAGAGGTAAAGTGAGGCAAGGCAAATCCAAATCAACAGTTGCCTTTTTAAAAGACAACCCCAAGGAAACCAGGATCCCCCCTTTTCTAGGATTGAATAAATCAGGTTATTGGCATAAAAATTCTCCCAGAATCAGAATCAGAGGATCTTCTTCTCAGTGCCGAGCCATTCCAGCCGCCACTCCTCAGGGCCCAGGAGGTTCCGATCGGTTACCCATCCGGCAGCTGACAGTCCTTGGAAGCACAGGAGAACCCAAGGTGAACAGAAAGGATTGAGTGTATCTATGAACATTGCACTCTAACCTTGGCGTCTACTTTTCTGGTCAAGGTACAAGGGATATAAGTATAAAACAACAGTAGAAATTCAGAACTACAGTAGTCCTAACTTACCCACTGCAATAGGACCAACAACTCTGTGGCTAAGCAATTAGACTGTAAATTGAAAAATTATGTATGCATTCCAGGTACAATGGGAGTTTATAGTTTCTGGCTGTGGTCATTAATTGAATCACCACAGGCTGGTTAAGTACAATGTCACGCTGTGACTTGTGGTTTGCCGCCTTCTCCTATGACTTTGCCAGAAGCCAGCAGCGCAGGTTGCAAATGACATTTGCATGAACCCAGGATGCAATGATGCCTGCAACTTCAAGGACCCATCATAAGTCTCCGTGTTCAGCACCGTCATCACTTTAAGCAGTCATTAAACAAAGAGTGAGTAAGTGAGGACTGTTTGTATCTGGTATAATGAAAAGAAAAAAACTGGGCAAAGCTGTGACTGACACTCAGAAGCACTCCCAGAGTGCTGGGAAAAGCTTTGAATAAGGATGATGTCACATCTTCAAAGGACTCTAGAATCTTCTGATGTTCTTTAGGGCTGCATTAATCAGTGTTTCTCAACCTTGACCACTTGAAGTCTTGTGGATTTTAACTCCCAGAATTCTGTGATGGCTGGGGAAGTAGGGAGGTTGAAGTCCACACAACTTCAAGTGGCCACGGCTGAGAAAAAAATGATCTAAATCTTTCCCTTTAGGTCAGCAGAAGAGGGTAGGGGTGGCAGTGTGACCTCAGAGGTTATGTAAGATACTTTTTGTGGCTCCTGGAGGCTATTCTGATCACCTGCTAAAAGCTGATGGCATCGTTTCCTGCTATTTTGAGGTGGAAGACACATTAGAGCCCTGGTGGCGAACCTATGGCATGCATGCCCCAAGTGGCACACAGAGCCCTCTCTGTGGGCATGCGCGCCGTCACCCCAGCTCGGCTCCACTGCGCATGTGTGTGCACCTCCCACCGGTCAGCTGATCTTTGGGTCTGTCATGCATGCGCAGGGGTAGGGCACATGCATGGGAGCATGCACAAATGTGGAGGGGCACATGCACCATGTTGCATTTGAGTACGTGCACGCACACATGCTTTGGGCACTCAGTACTGAAAAGGTTCGCCATCACAGCATTAGAGCTACAAAACAGGCATTATCACAATTAAAGAGCAAATGCCCCCCCCCCCCCCCCCCCCCAAATTCCCACCAATCATGGTTCCATCCACATGAATATGACCTTATCCTCTTGAGACCCTCAGCCCCCTTCCCTCCCCTATGTGTGGTCACTGGCCATCAATACAATGCCAAGCCCAACTGAATTGTACAACTTAACATCCAAAAAGGTTTTAAAGGTGTAGATAAGCTTCACGGACAGAATCTTTTGAAAAGTCAGATTCGAGTTTTCTTGCTGCTGAATCCAGGATTTAAGCTAAAACTTAATTTCTAAACCTTCACCACACACCTGCCAGGAATTTTGGAAATATCCTGTCTAAGAACTGATGCATTTCGGAATGTATCCTGGGATCCTCTTTACTGGATTCTGAAAAGCAGAAAAAGGAAGACAGGACATGAGGAAGAGCCTGCACAGCAGATTTATACCAGGCACAAAGGAGAGAAAGAGGAGGGAGAACCCTCTGTAAATGAAAGAGAAGCAAAGTTATTCTCCTTGAGTCCCTGGAAGTATAAATGCAAAGGAAATTAATCCACATATAAGGTACACGTTGGGTTGCCAAACGCTGCAGGAAAGAGAATGAGAACATAAGCAGATTTATAGGCTAGTCCTCAACTTATGACCACAATTTAGCCCAACATTTGTATTGCTAAGCGAGACAGTGGTTAAGTGAGTTTTGCCTCACTTTACGACCTTTCTTGCTACAGTTGTCACCATAGTTGTTAAATGAATTTGGCTTCCCCATTGACTTTGCTTGTCAGAAGGTCTCAAAAAATGATCCCATGATCCCAGGACACTGCCATCATCATAAATATGAGTCAATTGCCAAGCATCCAAATTTTGATTATGTGACCATGGGAATGTTGCAACGGTTGTGTGAAAAACAGTCATATGTCACTTTTTTCAGTGCCATTGTAAGTTCAAACCTAAATGGATGGCTGTAAGTCGAGGACTATCTGTTCCAATCATCCACCTTACCTATGATGACCAACCTCCCTTTTCTACCTGCCCCAAAGCTTCTGGGGTAGCCTGATGTAGATGGTCACCTCCACCTCCAAATCTCTTCAGTTCTTCCATAGGCCCCACCTTCCTTGAAAAGGTTGTGTTGGTTGCAGGGAATATAACTGACCTGAGGAAGGTGGTGCAAACATCCTGGTTTCATTTGCCTCTTCTCAACTGATTAGATCTGAGGAAGGCAGGTGAAACACCTCACTAGCAGAAGACTGTAGGGAAATATGAGGATAACCTACAGTGGGCCATACTGTGCATCTACCATTAGATACAGGTGGTGGTTGTTTAACGGCCATTCAAAGTTACAGCAGACCTCCCCCCGCCCAGAAAAGTCCCAGGCTCCATTATGGTTGTTTGTTGAGGACTACCTATAATGTGCTAGACTAAATAAATCCCCCAAAAGCTTCTGTTGAGCCAATCCCAAAGTAATGGCCACTCTATCACCCCTGTAATCATTCACCTTTACAACCAATCACAGGGACATTGCAGAACCTCTGCCTGTCTTCCCCCATTCCCCCCATCCCTGCAGGCCTTCTCCTCCGTCACTAAGCAGGACTTAGGCCTGATTCCCTCCTCATCAGGCCAAACACGCTTCATCTCCTCACTTATCTTTTGAAGAGCTCTGGTGCTTTCTGCAATGCTGGAACAGATGGCTTCATCGTGTGCCCTGTGGCGCGATTCAGGAAGTGGTCACCATGTTCCCAACAGCCACAAGAAATTCTAATAGCTGGGAACATGGCAGCTGCTTCTGAAATCATACCACATGGCTGAGCAATAAAGCGACATGTTCTGATTCTCTAACACAGTTAACCATTTGATCTAGCCTACTAAACTGTTGTTTTTCTGTGTCATATAACATGTGTGGGTATGTGCATAATTTAGTATTCATTTATTATCATATTTATGTAATGTATATGAGCGACGGTGACCCTTTGAGAGCTGTATGTAACAAAATTTCATTTTAATGTATGCTGATTAGTGTACAGTAACTAAAATTATTCTATTCTATTATTCTATTACACAGCACTGCAGAAAACTCTAGGCTCCATTACAGTCGTATGTCGAGGACTATGTGTAATGTGCTGGAATAAAAGGGCTACCCATCCTAATAGACAATCAGACCACAAAGACATGTCCTTCTCAATTCCTTCTAATGAGACATGCCAGAAAAGGAACCTGCCATGTGAATTTCTAGTCTCACCAAGTTACGACGAGTCCTCTAGATCAGGGGTCCCCAACCACAGGGCTGCAGACCAGTCCCAGTCTGTGGAACATTTCCTACCGGGCCGCCGGTTTGCTGGGCGCCGCCATCTTGTTTGACGAGAAAGTGCTTCCAGTTGAGCTTTTCCGGTTGGAAAGCAACGTTTGGGTCCTGAAGGAATCCTCGTGCCTTAGTTTCATCGAAGGGGGGAGGGCTTCAAACGAAACTAAGGCGCAAGGATTCTTTCAGCACCCAAGGCAAGGCGAGCCGAGCGACCGTCCCGAAGCTGTCCCGAAGCGAAGCCCATCGACAAAGGTACAAAGGAGGAGTTGAAGGTGGCAGGGAGAAGCAGGGGATGGCTGGCTGGCCAGTCGCTCGGCCCGCCTTGCCTTGTCATGCGTGCTGATGCCGGTACCGGGCTGCGGATCATTTTGTGATGCTGGTACCGGGCCGTGGCACAAAAAAGGTTGGGGGCCACTGCTCTAGATTGCTCCCCTCCCTCCCTCCCCCCATCACAATTTGTTTCTTCCTCCACATTCACTTCCCAGGTCATCACCTTTACATAACTGATGTTGCAGATTCAGGAGGGACCTTCTTTCCAAGGCACAGGTTTCCATATCTTGATACAGCAAGACCTCCAGAAGAAGGCCGTGGGTGTAAGCTTTAATCACATCCACACTGACTGCTTGCCGATGGAGCAGGATAGAGATCAACCCTACAGCAAAGAACAGGAGTCAATATGCAGACAGGCATAGGAAGTATCTGGATGGGCTCTCTCTTTTGAATACTTTAAACCCAGATCAATATTACTCTGGATCAAAGTCCATCTGAATTGGACAGTTCATGGACAACTCATCTTAGATAATGGTCAAAACATTGTTGAATTCTGAAGGATACCCTATATTCTTCACTATGTGGGTAGTCCTTGACTTACGACCACAATTAAACCCAATATTCCAATTGTCAAACGAGATTGTTGTTAAGTGTGTTTTGCCCCATTTTACAATCTTTCTTGCCGTGCTTGTTAAGTGAGTCACTGCAGATGTTAAAAAAAATAACATGGCCATTATGTGAATCTGGCTTCCTCATTGCTTGCCATAAGGTCACAAAAAGTGATTATATAACCTCAGGACACTGCAACCATCATAAATAAGAGTCAGTTGCCCATGCATCTAAATTTTGATCATATGATCATGGAGATGCTGCAAACATTGTAAATGTGAAAATCATTCCTAAATCTAAACAAACTGTTGTAAGTCGAGGACTATCTGTAGTTTACATTCCAAAATAAACAGTGATGCCAATAATTCCAAAGATCACAATATAATCATAATTCATCCATATGTCAATAGAAATGATATAAAATCAGCAAATAAAGTTAGTTAAGCATACAAAGAGCATATGATCTCTCTTCATTTGTGTTGGAACTTCAATTCCCAAATAGTATGGTTGACAGTGGGGGATTAAGCCTCACTAGTGCCCTAAGCTCTGACAAATCTTGGTGCCCTCCCCACTTTGTACATACTGTACAAATGAAGCCATATTCTCAACTTTAGGGTGCCCACTTTGGGCCTGGTGCCCTAAGCACGTGCTTAGTCTGCTTAATGGTTAATACACCACTGGTGGCTGAGGAATTTCTGTAGATACAGGTAGTCCCTGACTTACAACCATTGGTTCAGTGATCTTTCAAAGTTACATCACTGAAAAATGTGACTTATGACCATTTTTCATACTTACAGCATTGCAGCAACCCCAGTCACATGATCAAAATTTGGCTGGCAACTGGTTCATATCTATAACAGTTGCAGCATCCCGGAGCCATGTGATCCCGTTTTGTGACCTTCTGACAAGCAAAGATAACGGGGAAGCCAGATTCACTTAACAACTGTGTTACTAACTTAACAACTGCAGTGATTCACTTAACAACGGAGGCAAGAAAGATGATAAAATGGGGCAAAACTCACTTAACAACTGTCTTGTTTAACAACAAAATATTTGGGCTCAATTGTGATCGTAACTAAGTTCAGGACTACCTGTACAGGCAGTCCTCCATTTATGACCACAATGGAGCACAGAATTTAAGTTGCTAAGTGAGAAATTTTTTAAGTGAGTTTAGCTCCATTTTGGGACTTTTCCTGCCACATTTGTTAAGTGAATCACTAGAATTACTAAGTTATGGCTGTTAAGTGAATCTGATTTCCTCACTGACTTTGCTTTTCAGAAAGTCGTGAAATGAGATCACACGACCCCAGGATGCTGCAACCGTAATAACTGTGAGTAGTTGTCAAGCATCTGAATGTAAATCACATGACCGTGGGGACGCTGCAATGGTCACAACTGTGAAAAATTGCCATAATTAACTTTTTTCAGTGCCGCTGCAACTCCAAACGGTTGCTAAATGAACTATTGCAACAAATGAACTATTACTACAACCGGTATCTCACCTTCTTCTAGAAAGCCAAGGTTGGCAGGGAATTGCGCAGCAGGTGCACTCCTGAGCAGGTGAACTCAGAGACGCTGCCACAAACTTGTACATATATATATATATTTACATCTTTATTTGAAGCAAACTAGATAGTCAGGCAAACAGGAACATCCTGAGGTAAATCACAGAGCCCATGGGAAGAAAAAGGCGGGAAAAATGGGAACCTCCCCCTCCACACCCATGGCGACCAATCGTAGTGCAGACTGCCTCTAGCAGGAGCCAATCGCCTGCTACCAACCAGCCACAATTGTGTGTTTTCTGGCTCGCTGCTCCAGCTACTAAATTTAAATATCATAACAAAGGTGAACTCAAAGGTTTTCACTCAACCATTCCATGAGGTTGCTCGGACTAAGAAATTTTGAACGATCTAAGTCCTAGAGTTAACTGTAACAGCATTGCCAAAAAGGCATTAAGGGTTGTTAATCTAATTTTGCGAAGCTTCTTCTCCGGTAACATTGAATTGTTAACTAGGGCATACAAAACCTTCGCCAGACCAATTCTCGAATACAGCTCGTTCCCCTGGAACCCATAATGTATATCGGACATTAACACAATTGAGCGAGTCCAGAGGAATTTCACGAGAAGAATACTCCACTCCTTTTGCAATAGAATACCTTATGATACCAGGCTCGAAATTTTGGACCTGGACAACCTAGAACTACCCCGCCTACAATCTGACCTAAGCTTAGTACACAAAATTGTCTACTACAACGTCCTACCTGTCAACAACTACTTCAGCTTCAACCGCAATAATACATAGGCAAACAACAGATACAAACTCAAAGTAAACCTCCCCAAACTCGACTGCAGAAAATACGACTTCAGCAACAGAGTGGTCAATGCCTGGAACTCACTACCTGACTCTGTTGTTACATCCTCAAACCCCCAAAACTTTAACCTTAAACTGTCTACTGTGGACCTCACTCCATTCCTAAGAGGACTGTAAGGGGGAGTGCATAAGAGCACCAGCGTACCTACCATCCCTGTCCTATTGTCCCCATTATCCATTTATTCGTACTTGTTTATGATATATAGATATTTATACCTATTTATACTTATATGCTTATATGTTATATTCATACTTATACTTGTTTTCTCATACATGCTTGACAAACAAATAAATAAAATAAAATAAAATAAAATAAAATAAAATAATAAAATAAAAT